AAAATATATAAAAAAAAAATATGAATGATATTATATTAACAACAACAAAAAACGGAAAAAGCCCAAACTAGGATCTTATTTTAATCAGATTGTAAAAATATGTGAGTAAACTTGAAATGAAAAGACAGAATCCTTTACACAAGATACATTAACCAGTAAATGAAAAAAAACAAAAAACATATCCACTGAAAATATTGAGTTCTTAGTTATCACTATCTCCAGCGTAAATAGATACCATTGGCGATGCCATGGATATATATATATATATATATATATATATATATATATATATATATATATATATATATATATATATATGTATATATATATATCTTGTATTGCTGTTGGAAATAGTAACTATTTCATTTCTGATGTAATTATATTTAGCTTTACCGTCGTCACAATGACGTACCAACGATCTACTATGGTATTGTTGTGGATAGCTGTTTATGAAATGCAGAATTGAATTCAAGTTGATTTGTGACATACATTCACATTCGGCTCAGGATTAATGTATCGATGAGAGGTTTTCCTGTTAATTTCTCCATCTGATATAGCGATATATCGCCATTATTGAAGAAGATGTTTGTTGATATTTCAGGATTAGTTTCAGTCATAAGCGTTAAGTTGGGGGAAAACTAAAAAAAAGTAGACCACCGTTTTGTTGGATAAACGATTAGCCCGAATGCGGAAAAAAATAATATTGGCAAATGCTATAATGTGCAGTACACAGTACGTATGCGATCATTTGAAAATGTACAAGGTTATAGTATGAATTATAAACAATTATTTTTTGACAAAACTCACGCCAATAAATTTTATTTTAAACGTAGATTCGTGCAGTACATTACGTGAACATACAATCCTAAACATGTCATACATTAAAGTTCAAACGTGTTGTCGTCTGCTATTGAATTGTTTCTCGCGCACGAAGGCACGTGATCAGAAGCGGGGGTTCAAGCAATCTGATTCGTTGCTTTCTATTGTGACGTCACGTACGTGACATGATTTATATTCATCGACAGCTAAAGCATTGCACAAACTGCATCGGGAAGTAAGGCAGAAATGAGCGGCACACGGTAAGAAAATATACTATATATTAGCTTCGTTCATTTATCAGATAACGCATCAGAGCTGATCGTATTGAACCATGCCGAAGGGTGAATCTTTCTCAGGCTCGCTAGCAGATTTCGTAAATGTTTATTTGGTCATAACGGTATCTTTGAGAATTTTTGACGATTAGGGGAGGACCATTAAAAACTCCGAGTGGGCGATGGTAGAAAAAATTGTGAGCAATATTTGTTCCACCGTGTGAAATATATTTTCCACAAAATTTAGATTGAGTGCAGATTTTTTTTTTCTGTTAGTGAGTCATGACGGATTGTTACCATGATTTTTTCCTATGTATTTTTTGCAATCACACCCAGAATTTCTGTCGACCCTTACTCCAATTTTGTTCTAATAGCCCTTAGTTTAGTATCGTCACTTTCCCAATACAAATACATAAATAAACAAACAAACAAACAAACATCGTCGTATCGGTCTTCAAGTTGTTATTGTATCAAACTTTGTGTCACAAGAAATAATAACGCAATGTCAATTCTATGTCACTTTCGGTTAAATGTTCGGCGGAAGTTTAATTTGTCATTTTAAACGTACACTAGAAGTAGCTCTTTGTGATATGTTGAAAAAGAAAGCCGGACGCTTCGGGCGCACTTGTTTCGTCTTCCGATCGAGGAAATTTGCGCATGTCTCATACGTACATTTGACTAACCACTTTTTTGTATTCATTCTTAGAATACAAAATTAATATTAAGATTAATCTGCATGATACATGAAAAAAAAAAACGGTAAGGCACCAATTTAAGCTGCATATGCTTATATTAATATTAATATTCGGTCAACATAAAAAAGATTGGAAAATAGAAGACGTCGATTGCATTTAACGTCAATATAAGTTATAGATCACGCTCTGAAAATGGCCACTACTTGCATGAAATATTATTTTAGTATCGATACCTATGTATCATGTTCATATGGTTATGTTTAAACAAGCAGTTCAGCTAAGATTTGGCTCTGGCCCTGTCACTTAAACAGTTTTTAAAAACATATTCACTAACGCCAGAAAAAATAGCGGCCGAAACGTCCGTTCATGTACTGTGGTGAAGTACAATATATTGTACAGAAACCCAGTTTAAAGAAAATGGCACACAGTCGTTTGAATGATAGCTTTGGTAATTGTATCCCCCCTTTTTTAAATTAACGGGCCTGGGCATTCTGGGCATTTGTCGCCAATCTCATTTGTTTTTATGTGGTTTCAGTAATCATAAGTGAAAACAAAAATCACATGAACAATTCATAAATCTCTATGAGAATATAACATTCGAACATAGGGGTACGTTTAGTCAATGTACACATTCTATCTTTGTCTGTTGTAATTCAGCGTCCATATATGTTTTTAAAAAAATATAAAATTTAAAAAATATGAATATATATTTATGTCGTTCAAGTTTTGCCCATTTCGCCACAAAAATGGAATTCACGGTGAGTGGTATAGAGAAAGATGCAATGATTCACCTGCTGTGGTCTCGGTCTATCTGTTGTAAGTATGTTGAACTCACGCGTGACCTAAGCATTCAGCGAAGTGGCTGGATGCAAACTAGCGAGACATTTAGCTGTCTAGAAGTTTTCAGAAATATTGCGCCAGCAGTAAGTTTAAGCCATAGAAGTTTATCAATTCATTAACAGACCACGTTTTGCTGCGTTTAAAGCGCGGTGTTCGTAGCGCAGCGCGTCTTCGAATTTCATGTAAATAAACCATGTATTTTACACGCGTTGTATACGTCGCTATGAGTCCCATATCGAACAGGACGCGGCGCGACGACTACCGCCCTTTAACATGAGAAGTAGAAAATATTTCGAGCCTTTTTAGTTACATGGTTAGTTTGATCAACACGATATGTCACCATGTTTATTTCTAAGACCTAGTTCAAATATAATTATATGCGAGGGAATCACCGGCATTGAAAATTTAATGTGCAAAACAAATGATACTCAATGTGTAGGTGAATGTAGCACGTGGTTCACTGTGATACGTCCATGAATCAGGTGCGATTTCTACGGGTCATTGTCCTAAACAAAAAAGAAGTTACGTAGCACGGCACACTGGGTGGGGCTACAGAAAACCACCAAAGTCAAATTCGCAGTAGTTAAGTACGGCACTCAGACTCAACACGTTTCTAGCACTGTTACTAAAAATGATCTTTTTAGTAACCGTGTGTGGTTCTAGTAACCATACAGAGGGGGGGGGGGCAATGAGTAGCTGGCACAGTTTTACGGCCGGGGAAATAAAAAGTGCTTTTTACATTTACAGGGAAAAAAAGACGTTTTTACAGTTTACAGTGAAATTTAATTTTGCAGTGAATTGTGTCATCTAGTCGTTTTACAGTTTCGAAAATGTAATTTCCCTGGAATATTCTTTCAACGACTTTTTTTATTTGGATGTAAATTCTTGTACGTACCGAGAAAAATGACACATTTTTACAGTGTACGAACAAATATTTGATTGATTACGTTGTACGTCTAGCCTGTGATTACAGAATTACGGAATTTATTTTTTCATTTTACGTTGTACGAACAAAAAATATTGCAATTACATTGAACGAAATAACCCTTGCCTACCAACACCCCCCCCCCCCATACAGGCTTCGGACGTTTACTACGTTTACGTTTGCGTCCTCGTATCCACCCTTTAACTCTCAGTAACTATACATTTCATAGTTTGTCTCTATGTATATTAGTAAAAGTCATATCTGGTTGTGTCGTGTGGTGTCGGGTTCTGTCGGAACGGTTCGGGTCACGCGTCTTGTAATGGCTAAGAAACCTACTTCATTGAATTGATGTTCTATCACGTGTTCTTATCTGAATATATACACGATGGGTAGACGCGATGTATGTAATTAAATGCAGCACAGGTTGGGCTTAATTACAAATTCTACTAAAGATTAAAACACTTTAAAACTTGTAATTGTTTGTCAAAATAACGAAAAATATACACCTCATCGCCGACATCTCAAACAATCAAATGCATCAAAAAGAATATTCCTGCCAAATTAAATTTCGATTCAATTCCCAGATATCAGTCGTCCATCGCAATATTAAACACGTGTCATTCATAGCGCTAACTGATCGTACAAAAGTACTTCACTTTCGATCGCTAGAAATTATCCTCTTTGTAATAGATTCCATGACTTCGGCTCATCAAATCGATGCCACAGAATATAAACCGGCAATAGTAGTAACTATCGTCAGTGGGAGGGTGACATCGTCGATTCCGTTCTTCGCATTCCTAATTACTTAGCAACTATCTGTACGTATTCATACCTCGGTACGCCTATTCACTGTCGGCACAATACCTGCTGAGTGAATAATACTTCTCCCGGTAGAATCTTTTATGCCTGGTAAAACCATTAGTGCCGTGACTGTTTGCTGACATTTCATCGAGTCAAACATACGGCGTAATCTGTCAAGATTAATCTGGAATCCAAGATTACTCTTGTAAGTCATTATCAAAGGAGCCATTTATGTTTTTGTGCCACCCACGAATATTAGTACACGCACTTCCGTTTTGCGCGCGTGTGTAGTGATTGGTTGGCTGGAACTGGTCGTTCGCCCGGGGGGGGGGGGCTACTTGCATAGAAGTGCAATACGGGTATGTGCCGCCCGACTGGGGTGTCATTTCACGTTATTTTGTTTAGAAGTGTGTAGCATTTATTTACCTGTTCACAAGTCCTTATATTCAAAGCCAAATACCGGAAAGGGCTGAATAAATACATTGGTTGCGAAAGTTGTAAGCTGCGTGTTGTTGTTTTTTTCGCTGAAAACACTTGTGTTTAGAAGTGGGTATATAAATAGAAAAAAAAAATGTTTAGAAGTGAGTATGGTTTACGAGAGGTGGGCTTCACACCCTTACCAACCTTATGTGGAAGTAGGGGGTCGTTCGCACCCGAAGATAAAATAATGGTGTTTTTCGCTGCTGTTACAGTATATCGCAAGCTAGTTTTGGTCAGTGAGCTACATATGCGCGGGCAAAACAAGGGTTTGTTTCTGGTCCAAAGTTTATAGAAAAAAAACGATGCGGTAATTCTTTTTTTATATCAATAAACTCAATATGCGCATGCGTGAATAAGGAATCGCGCCACCAACCGCAGGAACATCTGTCTTTTGTTCTTTTTCAAGCGCGGCTTTTTTATTTGGCTGGTTCTCGCCTCAAGTGTTATGGTGCACCGGGATGCCGGGAAACAGCGAAGCGCTGCCCCTGAAACTGACGAAACAGATTTAATTTCGGCTGGCCTCATCACACATTTGCAAGCTGGTTGACAGAAATGTAACACCTCAGATAACAATAGCATCGTTATAATCTGAGGTAAAACAAATGACGTCATTTCTACCCTATTAGATTTTGCAAGGGACTGTGGGACGGAAATAGAACTTTTTTTATATAATCTTGTGCTAAGATCAACTATAAACTTCTTCTGTTTTCAAGCAACGTTTTAGTTGTTAATGTATGGTTACATTGTATTGGAGCTAAAAAAAAAACTCTGATAACAACAAAACTGTTGCGGTTTACATCACAAAAGCACTTTGTCACTAGGGGGCGCGACTTACATGAATTCTATTCTATCTTTCAGATGCATAGTACTGTGGATGATCCTGTGTATGTGTATGAATGTAACCTGCCGATCCTTTTTGAAGGTGGAAACGTTTGGCAACAGTTACAGTGATGGCGATGGAAGGAACTGGCGGACATCTGCATCCCCGTATAATACAGTGATTGACAGACTCGGAGACGAAGAACATGGTTGGACGGAGACTGATTTAAACGCCGCGTCTCTGCTCGATTTAGGTCGCGACGGATACTTTCAAAACGACAGAATCGATGATCATTATCGCCGGAACGCCTTTCACCTTCTCAGCCCTGGTCAACAAATATACTCGAGAAAAGGTGCAAATGAACAAATTAACGTCCGAAAGCACCAATCTAAATTGAAAAACAGGCGGCCAATAAACACTTACACTTCTGATCACGTGCCGGTTGAAGCAAAACGAGGCAGAGCGCGTAACCACGGCCCAGTTTTCCATAATCACCAATATAACTCTCCACACACGGTGTCACGTGTTCCGCTCCTATTGAAAGGGTTAAACATGAATGATGTATGGTAGCGAGTGATTTGTCTGCGAGGGCCGACAAAAGGTTGACCTATTATCAAATGAAAGACTTTTGTGAAAATAATCGGGACATACGAGATGGCCGGAAAAGATGCTGAGATCAAATTGCGAATTAGATTGCGAACGAGAAGTGAGATATATTACTCGTGTATTCCAGTTTTCTATCTGTCTTTCCCGAATTGGGATTTTTGATAAAAGAAATAAATTTGTATTCACAGGTGTTAATGTCACGTGATAGTATTGCCCAAGTTCGTATTATTATTATTAATATTTTAATCACTAAAATAGTCCCGACATCCGCAAATTGTGTAAAGCAAATAAATAATATGCGATGTCATGTATGTGTAAGTCTGTTTGCAGATGCCTTGATGTTTATTGCAACATGGCGTCCATAAACACTTCTGTCACGCAAATGTAATATTTCGTATTTAATAGGTAGGCCATTCTAGTTATCGATATCCATTGGTCTGTACTCGTTTCGTCATTGTGATGTCACAAAAATCCGTCGTCGCTAAAAATACTAATAGGGTGGAAATTGTATTATTATAGAAACCAATATAGTAATAATGTTATGTAGTTTACAAATTGCCGCCATTACTAAATTTATCCGAGAAATTTATAGCGAACATGTACTAGAAAAATAATTTGCCGGAATCAATGAGTTTCACGCCAAGATCCTCAGACAAAATAAAACAGATTTAGTGTTTCCACGGTAACGGTCTAAAAATACTGAGAAGTTGGTGGATTTCGGTTTTTGTGGGAATGTAATCATGCTTTTACTATCGATGCAAACAATTACATCTATAAGTTAGTTTTCACAATAAACAACCAAGTCCTACACATTCCCTGTATAGAAGCATAGATCTTTCTAAGGTCTATGATACAAGTTCATGAAATCGAACAATACAACATTAGTGGAATGACCATAGCTAATTTGCATAGGAATAAATCATTTTGATCTCATTTACATGAAATAAAATTTTCGAACCGCCTTCCCACAATGAGTAGGTAGGGTAACCGGAAATGTTTGACAACTAACAGTGCAGCATGCAACATATACATGCTCTGAGACGTGATACTCATTATGCTTTTAACAACACTTCGCGCCAACAAACCGAGATAAAAAAAAAAAGTACGACCACCGACCGATTTCACCAAAGTTGAAGATTTTGTGTCAAAAATCGATAATTTTTCATGAAACGAGTATGATTGGTTCATCCCTCGAACAAACTTAGCATTACAGCTGAGTCGAAGCGTCTATACAAGGCGGATTTTGATACGACGAACAATTCTGTAAACAAACAAGCTGCTCTCTGATTGGTTCGACTGTTAGGTATTTCATCCGAAAATCAATGCAAAAAGATCAACATAATTCCCTACTACGTTCACTGCTGTTGGCTGTCAGACATCTTCGTCGTCTTGTTATTCATTGTACGCAATGTGAAGAAGCCAAAATGTGCTCGCATTTTCTTCAGCTTCAGCTTCAGTAGTCGTCGCGCCACGCGTGCGCAAGACATATGGGTCTCATATAAACAAAGATGGCGACTTTGACTGTTGGGCAGATCAACGAGTACGAACTGAGATGTTACCAAGCTTTAATTAGGTAATTTTTAGGTGATTGGAAGGTATCGAAAGAGTCGCCGGCGGTAATTAGTGCAAATCGCGCTCAGGCAAACCTCATACTTGTGAATTCCATTAGAAGAGCGCATTGAATTGTGGGAAAATCAATGTTTATCAACACAACTGTCGCACATGCGCAGCGCGACGACTACCACCCTTTAACCCAAATCGTCGGAATCACAAGTAGTGATAAAAAAGTTATTGCACGAAATATTATATTCAAGTTTTTACATTTGTATCAGCGAAAATCAGAGTCATACGAAGTATTACATAGATTGGGTCACTACGCATTGCCCTGGTTAATCACACACACACAACATACACAGATTGATAGTACGTAAAATACCGTCCACCAATGACTCAGTAGAGCAGATTTTAAAAAAAGAATATGTGAACAGGCACGGTTACTAACCGTGGCACAGGTAAAGAATATACAGGAAAAATTACCGAAAAAGCAACATCGTTCTGGAAAAAAATGCAGCTCAAAATCAAGAAACAAATAATTTGCTGAGTTTCATTACCACTTCTCCTCTCTAACTTGTTTACATTTCACGACATGCTAATTTGCATATAATTATAATAACATTAGTCACGGTCTGAGACCGGAATAAATAAATCCATTAGTACAGTTAACATGGCCGCTTTATTAACACTGACGGATTGTGTTAACTCTATACTCTGCTCCCCGGACCCTCAATATCAGAAAATGACCCATATTTTAGTAAAAGAGGTGGTCCCGTGATAAAAAACACACAGCATATATATATTGTGAATTCCTCTTCATTTTCGCATCGGAACTCAATACAAAAGACAAATACAAATACAATCCCTACTGATTTCAGCGTCGAACCGTACAGAAAATATTACTCGACTTCAAAAACAAGTACAAAGCTATAAAGAAATCCTAAATACTGAATACTACCAATTATTCATAATATTCTTCATTCATATAGTCAATCTGCTCATTCAGTGCTCATCTTTTGTATTTTATTACTGATTGCTCTCATTACCCCCATTACACCGGGGGCATGTGCCCACATTTGAATGTAAATTACACTGTATTCACCACAGCGGGATTATTTCCCGTTTGATTTATCTGACGTCTACATGCAGCTAGTGTGGCTACTCGGTAAGAGTAGCAGTGGCCATCGGGTATACACAGATATGATGGAGGCGATGTACATGCATCACGAAAGGTCACACGATGTACAGAACGAACCTAATTTTCAAATATGACAAATAAAAAGCCAATAATTGTTATTTTGGGGGGAGGGGGGGGGTCAGAAGCATGGCATATTAGAGTAAAATAAACTAGAACGGCGTGCACGAAAATGAAAACACGGGTCATATTGCCATCATTGTTCACATGGCGCAGGCTAACAAAACATTTCGGTTCTGACAAAAAAATTACACGGATAGTGCTTCTGGTTGTTCAACAAATGAGATACATTTTTTTTGTTCACTACGTTTCGCTCCACACGGCTTCATTGGATAGATGTACATGAAAACTACAAAGTGCAAGAGTACAGTAAACGCCCTCTAGTTACTGTGTTCTTCTATGACGTCAAAATTACGTAGATTGTTGAAGGCAGTGTCGTGCAGTACTATAATTGTGTCGCTCGGCATTTAGAATATATTCGATCTCTCCAAAAAGTTATTTTTTTATGTCGAACAGTGGCAGCCACGATTTGAGCAGTCACTCTCACCCTATTTACGTCACATAAATATCTAGTCGTTAGAGGGCACAACTTACTTGAAGCAAGCTCCGACTTAACAGTCAAAACTAAAGGCCTACTCATTCGTCACAAAAATCGACCAGATCGGAATAGGTTTAAGTTCTGGCACAATAGTAGTATCATTTGACAACATTCACACCAAAGCAACTAGAATATCTATATACATTTGTCTTATCGTAATGTATCGTATTATATCTAAACAGACAAAATTTTCATGAGATACATTTGTTTTATCGCAAAGTAATACTGCGATATTGATTATGAATACTGTAAAGTACATTATTTTCGCTGAAGGAATGATTCAGTGAAATAAATTCCAATAATTTAAAGTATACTCGTCAAAAATCAGTATTGAATAAATTCCATACGAAACAACCAAAAAGTCTTTCCAGCGAAAATTACTATTAATTCCAGTGAAATTTAAATTAGTTTACAGTGCCACAGAACAAGCGATGGGCGTGCATGCTCATACATACATACATTGAATTATACCTTTTGTTGAGAATGCATAATGAAAATAATTTACCATTTGCAGGATAAACTAAATTTATAGTGGTATATGTATACCACATAAAAAAAAAACTTACTGACACACTTTTAGTTTTAAATATATATGTAAATTAATGTATACTGTAAATAACGCCGAAGACTCCCCCATAGCAGTACCACGAACTATTTCGGTCGCAATGTTCGTTTAGTCCTGTTTTAAAGAAGAAATTTTGCTTACCGTTTACGATAAATATTTCTTATCTGACTTAGTGAGCAACATTTCGCAGACTTACAAAATTGTGCACACCATTCAAAATGCAAAATGGATGAAAACATATATATATTGTTCAAGTTTCTCTAGATACACCATATTGTAAACCAAATCGGATTATAATTTACTGAACATATAACAGTATTTGTTAGATGAAACCACTAATACGCATGCGCAGTAGTTGTTATTGTGCGTACCTCAAAACAGGTCGGGATAATCATAGTCCAATGTATTTATCAGCATACATTATCAAACAACCATACTAAAAATTATATGTCTTCGTCCATATTGCATAGTTTTTTTTATTCATTGGGAAAGTAATACGCCTCTTCCATAGGAAACGTTCGTGTGGCGTAGTTGACACAATGACCGTCATTGCGTTGATATAGTTATATAGAATTGTAGTAATCTGTCAATAAAAAGCAATGTTTATACAACCAAACACGAACAAACAACCAAAACAAATTACACAACCAAACACGAATAAACAATCAAACACGAATATCTCAGACAACTAATTAGTTGTTATTATTTGTCTGAGACGAATACACAGCACAACCGAACACGAATATACAACCAAACGCGAATATACAACCAAACACGGATACACAGCCAAACACGAATACACAACCAAACGCTTGGACATACCAGGGTACATTAATTCATCCATCTACGTCGTTAGATGGCGTGAATTATATTACAAATATTCGTGTAATTGTTGCTTTATTTCAATATCAAAATTATCATACAAACATTTGAACAGAAATTGCATAGTAAACATCTTCTGTTTACGGAATAGGCAAAAATTACCAGACTGAGCAAAGCGGCAAATAATGTATGTTTCACCATGAAAATAATACAATATCACAGTGAAAGCA